GGCGGGCGCGGCTGAGCCCGGCTGCACGGTGCCCGAACCGCGGGCGTTGCCGCCGCCGGGTGTCTGAGGAGAGCTCCAGACAAGGCTCTCCCGTCTGCCGTGGTCCTCACGGCCAACGCAGGGGCCGCGTCGCTGCAGTCGCACGGCCCCGGGGCCTGGCTCCGTGCGGGGAGAGCGGCGGAAGCCATCCGTCTGGCGCTGCCGAGCTCGGAGTGAACCCCAGCCTTAGGTTTTTGTCTACTCAGCCAGGGCATTGTGCGCTTGCTTCACTGTTGGACCCCGAATGAAATAAAATAAAAAACCCCGAAGGCAGGAACTGCTGTGCAGTCGCCAGGCGGCTGTTGGGTAGGGATACCAGTGCTTGCATGAATGTTACTGGGTAAGGGCTGTTTTCCTCTTTCCTGGCTTTTCTGGAAAGTTAGCACGTAAGCTTTAGTTTGCTCAGTTCTATGCAAATTTGGCCCTATTTGTAGGTGACTACTTTGTGAAAAGTTGGCATCGTTAGGTAGGCAGTTTTATTACGTGTAGAGCTTTCTTATTGGCACATTGTTTAAAGCTTGCAGTGCTATTAGAGCTTTCGTATCGGCACATTGTTTAGGGCTTGCAGGGTACCAAGCCTCTACTTAGCTTTTTATATCACTTACCTTACTTAGTGAAGTCTTCATAATCTAAGAGGCATTAGCCTCTACTTTTCATTGTGGGAAACAGCGGCAGACATAACTAAATAAAAGACCCTAGTTGTCAGAACAGTAGTTCTGCAGCCCGCATTTCCTTCCTCTAATTAGCCCTGGTCCTAGGGTGAACTGGGAACCTTTAATTCTTCGAGAGAAATGCTTTGTTCTGAACTAACTTTCTTGATCTCTTCCTTCTCCCACTCCCTCCCTCCCGTACTGGGAATTGAACTTAGACCCTCTTGCATACCTGGGAAACTGGCAACCACTGAGCTGCAACTGTCCCTTTTACTAGTCTTCCAGAAGTTTCAGCAGTGTTGTGTCCCTCTTCCCTTCCCTGCCCCACCCCCAGCCCTCGAACTGACAGCCCCCAAGCACCCGCTACAGGGACTCCTTTTGCATGTTTATAATGAAACCTAAGAATTAATTTCCTTTTCTTTTAACTCCTAGATCCCGCACCAGTTCAGCTTATTGTTCAGTTTTTGGAGCAGGCTTCTAAACCTTCAGTTAATGAGCAAAACCAAGTCCAGCCTCCGCCTGATAACAAGAGGAACCGAATCCTGAAGCTTCTTGCTCTTAAGGTTGCTGCACATTTGAAGTGGGATTTAGACATCCTGGAGAAAAGGTGGGAAGTTTGAGTAGCATTCCACTGGACACTGTAGATGCCTTTGTTTCTGTCTGTTTGCTAGTGTTCTTCTCACAGTGACTTCAATTATTTTTCTGCATGTTCATGGCAAATATTCAAACATTTTAAAAAAGATATAAGAAAATGTTTAAAACTAGACATGTGTATAGCTGCAGCATCTTGAGACAAAGGCAGTAGATTCCCGGGAGCCCCCAGTTTAGAGACCAAACTGGACAGCATGGGCTTACTCACACCGTCCAGCCCAGACAAAGCAGGGAATTGACAGGATCATTTGAATAGTAGATGAACCACCTGTAAAGTTTAGATGTTTTCTGTCAGTAACAAGGAAGGACTTCCCTCCCTCTTACTGGAAAGTGAAGTCAGGGCCTCAGAGGTCCTAGGCAAAGTTTTACTGTGAGGCTGTAGACCAAGCTAATTATTACCTGAGTTACGGTAACAGGAGAAAATCCAGACTGCAAGTGTTACTAATGTTTCAGTTGATGTAAATAATCGAGGCACCGAGTGGAAGTTAGTGATGGATGTGAGGGATGATTTACTATTAGACAGTTTGGTTAGTGTCAGTTCCTCTTCCCCACAGTTAGCATTACTGCTGGACTTGGCATTCATTTGCTTACAAACCAGTGCCTTCACAGCTGTGGTTGGAAAGTTATTTGCTTTCATTCTTTCTCTCATAATTGAAAAAAAAGAAACTCTGAAGAATTTAGAAAGATGGAAGTAACATTTTAGGGTAATCTTTGTCCTCGTTTGCCCAGTGTCTTGTTTACAGTGCCAGAGACCGAACCTGGACCTCAGTAGTGCTAGGGACACACTGCCACTAAGCTGCCTGCCAGCCTTCCTCAATTTTTATTAGTTTTTTAAAACAAAACTATTATTATTATTATCATCATTGTTACTGGTTTCTTTGAGACAGGATTTCTTTGTGTAACAGTTCTGGCTGTCCTGGAACTTGCTTTGTAGACCAGACGGGCTTCAATCTCACAGAGATCTGTCTGCCTCTGCCGCCCATTGCTGGGAGTAAAGGCATGCTGCTGGCTTGTTGAGAAAATTAATTTGAACATTTTTTTTTTTAGATTTTCTTTATTTTATGTATATGAATGCTTGACCTTCACATGCACATTTGTGTGTGACCATGTGAGTGCCTGGTGCCTTCGTTGGTCAGAAGGTCAAATTCCCTGAATTGGAGTTATGGATGGTTATGAATCACTGTATGAGTGTTGGGAACCCATCTAGGTCCTCTGGAAGAGTAACAAGTGCTCTGACCACTTAACAGCCTCTCCAGTATGCAGAGGATCTGTATAGCCCACTCTGACCCTGAACTGGCTATGTAACTGAGGAGGATCTCGCTTTTCCCTCCCAACATGCTGGGATTATTCATATCATACTTCCTACATTTTAAAATAATGTTATCATACCCTGTATAATGTTTTCATTTATTTCTTCGAGTAATGTAATATTAACTAGTTTGATATGGTGGTGTGTAATTCATAATCCCAGCACTTGGGAAACTGAGGGTAGAAGAACCAGTGGTTTAAGGTCAGCCTGAGCCTTTTAGCAAGAACCAGTCTCAATTCCCCACTTCTCCTATGAACCACCACACAGTATTATTAACTGTTCCTCACTGACACTAATTTAGCTTGTTTCCAGTTCTCTCTCTCTCTCTCTCTATATATGTGTGTGTGTGTGTGTGTGTGTGTGTGTGTGTATACACACACACACACACACGCATAGACACATATGCATGCATACACACGTGTGTTTGTGTATTTGTTTGGTTGGTTCTTTTAAAGATAGGATTTCTCTGTGTGATTCTGGCTATCCTAGAACTCATTCTGTAGATCAGGCTGGCCTCTAACTCAAAGATCTGCCTGCCTTTGCCTCCCTGGGATTAAAGGCATGTGTCACCACCACAAGGCCTTTTTATTTATTTTAATTAGTTAATTTATTTTATGTATATGGGTGTTTTGACAGCATGTGTGTCTGTGAACCACATATGTGCCCGGTGTCCTTGGAAGTCAGAAAAGGGCTTCGGATCCCCTGGGACTAGAGTTACAGACTGATGTGAACCACCATGTGGGTGCTGGGAGCTGAACCTGGGTCCTCTTTAAGAATAGCCAGTGCTCTCAAAACCACTGAGCCACTCTCCAGCCGCGGTTGGCAGTTTTCTACCCTAATAATCTATAATGTCTTAAATGTTTTTGTCTAAGCATGAGTTCACTGTGCAGCCCAGGCTGCCCTCATTTCCCTCTCTGCCTTGCAGGTGAGTGTCCCCACCCTGCAGCTTATACTTCATTCAGCATAGTCTTTCAAAACATTTTTTCCACCATATGTTCTTCAGCATTAAATACAGCTTTTTAAAAAGTAAATAGATTATTTTGTGGTTGAGGCCCAGACTGGTCTCCAGGTCTGCAGTGAAGGATGGCTTTGGGCTTCTGCTATCTTGTGGGACTGTGTGTGTGGTGCAGTAATAGTGTCCAGGAGACATGGCTCTCCATGGTAATGTATGCAGTGTTAAGGCACACATGGCTTATATGAGACAGTTGGAAAATTGAACACCTGCTGGGTTTTTCTGGTTCTGGGAATTGAATCCTTGACCTCCAGGACAAATAAGCTGCTATTGGCTACACCCAGCAGTAATGTTATTGGTTATTTGGTGATAATCAAATGTAAATGATTGCTTCTTTTTCTTCTTTTTTTGGGGGATGTGGGGTGGGGTGGTGATGGGTGGTGTTAGTGTTGAGACAAAGTTTCAATCTGTAGACCAGACTGCCCTCAAACTGAGACATCCTTATATGACTGCCTCCGGAATACTAGGAATTTAAATTATTTCTCTGAAGAATTTATAGTTATTTTGTCAAGAATTCACTTTTTGCAGGTGTAGTGGCTACACCTGTTAAGCCAACACCTTGGAGGCCAAGACGGGCAGCTGCCTGTTTGAGGCCAGTCTGCTTTGCATAGCAGGCCTCTATTTGAAAAAAGGAAAGGTAAACATTTTAGATGGGATCTGAAATCTTTAAATTTGGGACGTAGGTAAGAGTGAACATGAAAGACTGATCACTAGTTGAACAGTTAAGGGTGTGTGGTATGTGCTCAGTATGGGTTTTGCCACTTTTGTATTGTGTAAGCCCACAGGAAAAAGTCTTGAATCTACCAGGTAGATAGATCTGCAGATGCGATCCTTGAACAGCGTAGTTATTTCCACTCATAGTAGGGGTTCGTCTTCTCTGTGGCTTGTGCAGCTAACACGCAGACATGCCTCTCTGCTTCCCCTAAGCCTGTCTGTGCCGGTGCTGAACATGCTGTTGAACGAGCTGCTGTGCATCAGTAAAGTCCCTCCTGGGACCAGGCATGTGGACATGGACCTGGCAGCCCTCCCCCCGACCACAGCCATGGCAATCCTCCTCTACAACAGATGGTGAGCAGCCTCCTGCCTTGCATGCTGCCGTTCAGGGCCATGCTTTTGAGGATTTCCTTTTGTTCAGGGATCTTTCTAGGCATCTTTGGAACTGTACACCTGGAAGTGGAAACATTTTATGTATGGCAATGTAGACAAAAAGCATGTTGCTGAAACTGGGGATGAAATCTTACATTTATTAAGTTATTATACTTGTTATGATTGAACTGACTTTTTATTGTTTCCCTGTCTTTTCTTTAGGGCAATTAGAACAATTGTTCAAAGCAGCTTTCCTGTCAAACAGGCAAAACCTGGGCCTCCTCAATTAAATGTGTGAGTTGTGACAACCCTTCCTTGGGGCGTCTTTCATTGTGATTTAAGGATGTTGTCCAGAGAGAGGATGGAGGGCCTGCGTGGAGCTAGGGCTTGGAGGTGTGACTGTGAAGAATTTTTCCATATAACTAAGTTGTCTTTCATGTGTATTAGTTTTGTACCTGGAGAAGTTAATATTAGTGTTAGCAGTACAAAGTTCATGACAAAAGCTTGATGGAATATGGAGATTTAAATCCAGTTCATAAATTCTTGGTGGCAGCTCATCCCACTTGGGAGCTGGACAGCATAGTTACTGGACATGAGTGGAACTGCTTGCTTACACTTCATAACAGAATAGACTTACTTATGGCCTAGGTCTGAATGGTTAACTGCTTTCTTTGGGACTTGGGTCAAGCTGCAGTCAAAGGAAGCTTCTGTCAGTGCAGGTGATTTTTACTTCATGAGCTGGGATGCCAAGGAAGAAAGGGTGGAGCAGGGCTAATAATTACCCCTGGGCACACTCCATTGTTCTGCCCACCTGCTACTTCTCTCACTTCCCAGAGGTCAGCAGTATACCCCAGAAGAGCCATCTGGGGAGCGGAACCTTTAAAAACTTACCTCTCGAGGAAACTGCCAGTATTTAAGTAACAGTAACATGCTAGGACATAAAAAATAACACAATTCTTTGTACTGTGACACATTCTTTATTGCTATTTTTTATTTTTATTTTTGGTATTTTTGAATAGGATCTCACTATTTATTTAGCTCTGGCTGGCTTGGAACTTAATATAGACCAGGCTGGTCTTGAACTTGCAGAGATCCTCCTGCTTCTGCTTTCTGAGTGCTAAAATTAAAGACTTGTGCTACCATGCCCAGCTTCTATGTCTACTTTTTTTAAAGATTAAAATTAATAAAATTAATTTTATTTTTATATTGCTGAGAATTTTCTCTACATGTGTGTAATTGCACCATGTGCATGCCTGGTGTCTTAGGCAAGAAGATTCGGATCCCTGGTACTTGATTACAGTTGGTTGTGAGCCACCATGTGGGTACTGGGAACCGAACCCCAGTCTTTTGGAAGAACAGCCAGTGCTTCTAACTACTGAGGTGTCTTTCTAGCCCCCTCTGTTGGCTCTTCTTTAAATAAATGAGCTTTTGTTGTCAATAAACTCTATTACTCTTTTTGTTTCCTTCCCTCCTCCTCCTTTCTCCTTCCTCTTTCTCCCTCCTCTTCCAATAGGAGCTGATAGAGTTTTGTAATTTGATTGGCCTTGAAACTCCCAGTCCTCCTGTCTCCACTGCTCAAATGCTGGGATTATAGGTGTGTGTTATGCTTAGCTAGTTTTACTCCTAAAGGAAAGGTTAGGAGTTTTATGTAAAGCAATTGAGGAGGTCCTGGTAAATTAATGATCATCATAATAATCCGTGCTTTTATTTGTTTAAACAAACAAACAAACAAAAATACCTGTTAGCTGTTATCATTTTAAACAAAAATACCTGTTAGCTGTTATCATTTTAAAAAATTTAAGTTTCATGCTGAAGAATGATAGTCTTAAATTTAGACTTCTACAGTCTTGTCTTGAGAATTGTATTTCAGTGCTCTTGCATCTTTGTTCTTTTAGCATGAATCAGATGCAGCAGGAAAAGGAGCTAACAGAAAACATTTTGAAAGTGGTGAGTACTGGCAGTCACTGCAGTGTCAAGGTAGCAGGGAGAGGTGCGTCTCTGATCTTAGCTTGAGGGTGTTACAGAGAGCTAAGCACAGGGGTGGGCTTTGCTGTAAGCATTTAAGAAGGTGTGTGTGTGTTTTGCTTTTATGAGACAGCCTTATCACATAGCCCTGGTTGGCCTCAAATTTTCCACGTAGCCAAGATGTCTTCAATTCATTATCATCCTACCTCCGCCTCACAAGTGTTAGGATTGCAGACACTTGTTACCAATACTTGGCCTAAATTGTCCAGTTTTCAACACTGTCGGCACAATACTTTATCGTTAGTTCTTTTGTTGAATAGTTCATGATATTTTAACAGACATTGTTCAAGACGTGTTACGCTTAGCTAACATTGTCAAGGTTTTTTTTCCTCTTTTTGGTTTTTTGAGACAGGGTTTCTCTGTCCTGACTGTCCTGGAACTCTCTTTGTATATCAAGCTGGCCTTGAACTCACTGAGATCCACCTGTCTCTTCCTAGAGTGTTGGGATTAAAGGTGTGCACCACCATCACATGATTTTTATTGGACCAGGAAGTGGCTTAGTTGGTAAAGCTCTTGCTGTTTAAGCAAAGAACCTGAGGTTGATTCTCAGCTCCCGTGTAAAAGCCAGATGTATTAGTGTGCCTGTCTGTGGTCCCCCACTGGAGAAATGGAGACAAAAGGGTGCCTGGGACTCACTAGGTAGTTTATCTACTTGGATTGGTGAGCTCCAGGTTCATTGTGTCTTATCAGAAACTAAGATGAAGAGTAATTGAGAGAGACTTCCACCATCACCCTCTGGCCTTGACATGTATGCACTCGTGTGTGCATATGGTCATACATACAGTGCCAAATGTGGTTTCATACACTGAGTTCCACAACTCTGGAGGAAGATCTGGAATTGAAGGTCATCCTCAGGTTTGTAGCAGGTTTGAGGCTAGCCGGGCTACATGAGGGCTTATCAACAAAACAAACAGGGCTGGCAACATAAGTAATTTGGTAGATTGCTCATCTAGCCTGCACAACGCCCTGGGTTTGAGACCTAGTACTGCATACACTGGCAGCAGTATGTGTGGCACTGGGCAGGTGAAGCCATGAGGATCAAACATTCAAGCTCACCCTCAACTACATTAGAAGGCCAACCCGTCTCAAGAAAAAAGAAGAAACGCTAAGAAAATAAAAAAGTTGGTTTTTCCATGACCTTATACTCTTTGTAGTTATCAAAATTTGTAGCATAACAGGGAGTGACTGAGAGGAGAGGAGAGAGGGAAACTGTGGCTGGGATTTAAAATAATTAATTTAAAAAATTCACAACAAATGTGGAAAACAAAAGACTGTCAGAAAATTACAGCAAATCTTGAATGCGTGCCTGTGTATTTGCTAGGCTCAAGCCTAAGGCCTACTGATGGTGCGCAGTGCTGTGCCTCTGAGCTGTGTGCTACATGCTACCCCAGAGGGCTTTTGTAATGATTCGTAGATTTTCAGTATTTTCATTTGTTTGTGACTGTACGTATGTCTGTCTGTGTCTGTGTGTGCATGAGTGTAGGAGTCTACAGAGGCCAGAGGTGCCAGATCCCCATGGAGCTGGAGTTATAGGTGGTTGTATGTTACCTAATGTAGGTTCTGGGACTTAAACTCAAGCCCACTGGAAGAGCAATACATGCTTAACTGCTAAGCCAGCTCTCCAGTACCCCATATTTATTGTTTAATCTCCTCAATGTAAAAGAAATGGGAGATTATCTGTAAATTATGTATAATCTCTGTAAGTATTTAACATCAAAGTGTTCTGAAGAAGGTAGGGCATAAGTATCAAAAAGTAGGAATAAAAGAAAAAAATCATACCTCTGTGAAACAAATGCACAGTAGGGTTTGTAATGTTTTGAATAGAGAAGCAAAAAGCCTGTGTCGTATTGTTGCTGTGTGGTGCTTAGTAATCCAGCTTTGCACAGGGAAGTGTAAATTAAAATCAAACAGTGCAGATGTTTCTTGTATTTTGTTTCTAACGTTACAACAGAATGTACTGCATTTTTAATAGTTAAGATTATTACTTCAGCAAGTAATTGTACCTGTTGAAATATCCCCTGTTTTAGTACATGAAGCTACTAAATATTCTGTAAAAAATGTTTTGGTTATTATAATCAGTTGCTATTGTTACAATTTCATTTGTGTGTTGAATTTTGTAGCTAAAAGAACAAGCTGCTGATTCTATTTTGGTCCTGGAAGCAGCCTTGAAATTAAAGAAGGATCTGTATGTTCACACTATGAGAACTCTGGACTTACTGGCCATGGAACCAGGCATGGTGAATGGAGAAACTGAGAGTTCTACAGCTGGGTTGAAAATCAAAACTGAGGAGATGCAATGCCAGGTATTTCTTTCTTTAATTAGCCAGTATATTGGAAATTGCATGTAAGACCTTGATATTTTTGTTAGATGTATTTTTACCTTTGTTTCTGTGATTTTGATCTGAGCCCTTTTTTTTTTTTTTTTTAAAGAAACGAGTTCATTAATAGAAAGGTTGACCTGGAACTTGCTTAGGTCAGGACTTGCCTTGAACTTGTTACCCTCTTGCCTTAGCCTCTTAAGTGCTGGAGTTATTGGCATGCACCACCATATATAATCTATTAGATTTTTATTGGCAGTTATTTCTTAGAAGTTTTTTGGTTTTTTGCTTTTTTTTCTTCCTGAGATAAGGCTTCTCTGTGTAACATTTCTGGTTGTCCTGGAACTCTCTCTGGAGTCCAGGCTGGCCTTGAACTCATAGAGAACGCCTGCCTCTGCCTCCCGGGTGCTGTGATTAAAGGCTTCCACCAACTGTCATCTTAGAAGTTTTATAGGCCTGTACTTGAGATTTTTCTAAAGGAAATAAAAGGAAAATTTTATGGAGCCTATTATTTTCAAAGCAGTTTCTGAATTGATTTGCAGTACTTTCTTTTAGGAGTGTAGTTAAATTCCCCAGAAGACAACAAAAACTAATGTTGTGCCAGGCTGAAAATGTAGGCCTTCAGGTCAGATAATTGACTCAGTAAGGACCTTATCTGTTTCTCTGACTTTGGGCCCCTAGACCCTTTGACAGTTTTCAGTTTTAGTCAGACATGGTGTACATACCTGTCGTTTCCAGCACCCAGGAGGCAGAAGCAGAGATTGAGGCTACCCTGGTCTACAGAGTGAGTTCCCAGATAGCCAAGGCTATAGAGAAACCCTGTCTCAAAAAAGAAAACTGTTACAAGGAGAGCCAGGCCTCTTGTTTGTCCCGGCCGCCCGACTAGCCTAGTCCCGAAATAACCATACAGAAACTGTTAATTAAAACACTGTTTGGCCCATTAGCTCTAGCCTCTTATTGGCTAACTCTCACATCTTGATTTAACTCCTTTTTATTAATCTATATATCACCACATGGTCATGGCCTACCAGAAAAGTTTTAGCACGTCTACTTTCGGCCGTGGATCCATGGCATCCCCTGACTCTGCTTTCTTCCTCCCAGAATTCAGTTCTGTCTTCTCTGCCTACCTAAGTTCTGCCCTATTAGGCCAAGGCAGTTTGTTTATTCATTAACCAATACAAGCAACACACAGAGGGGACTCCCATATCACAAAACAGCAACAAAAATGAAATTTATTTTTATTGTTGAATGTCTTTATGTTCAAGCCTTCCTTTTCTTTACTAGATGTACTGATTTTTGTCGGCTTAACAAAAACTGGAGTCATCTGGAATGAGGGAATTCACTGAGAAAATGTCTTCATCAGATTCAGCTATAGGAGAGCCTGTGGGTTGTTTTGAGTCAGGGTTTCTCTGTGTAGCTTTGGATCCTGTTCTCCCGAGTGCTGGGACTAAAGGCATGCACTGTAGACAGAAGTTTCTGTCCTGCCTGGTCCCATAGCCATTTAGTCACAAATAAACACACAGAGGCTTATGTTATAAACTGTTTGGCCTATTAGCTCAGGCTTGTTATTAACGAGTGACAAATCTTTACAGTGTACAAGAACATTATCTCACAGCAGTGTGCCACCAGTGATGGAGGTGGATGGGCCCATCCTCCTGATTGGGTGTATGAGAAAGTAGATTGAGCAAAGCCGGAGGCATCATTCCTCCATGTTTTCTGCTTCAATTCCTGCCTCCAGGTTCCCACTTTGAGTTCTTCCCTGACTTTCTGCAGTGATATAGTATGATATGAAAATTGTAAGATGAAATAATTATTTTCCTCCCTAAGTTGCTTTTGGTCAAAGTCTTAATTACGGCTATAGAAAGAAGTCAAACTAAGATATTAGATTATAAAGTACTATGTCTATCTACGTACCTGTGTTCTAGTACAGACCCTTGAGGACAATAGAAATTTTAAAGCATTCATTGATTACCTTTTTAGGGCCAAAATCCGTTAGAGTATTATTTTTGTTTTTAAGACAGGATCTATATAAACCCTGGCTGGTCTGGAACTTATTGCATAGACCAAACTGGCCTGAAACTCACAGAGATCAGCCAGCCTCTGCCGTTTGAGTGCTGGGATTAAAGGTCTGCACCACCATGTCTGGCTAGATCATAATTTTAAAGGCTACTGTATTTGTACAAACACATGGCATCTTTTCCCTAGTTCCTATTGTGAGAAGAGGTGGAAAGAAGACAGTTTTGTAAAGGGCGTCCTTTTGGGATTGGGGATAGCCGAAGGCAATCATCTGTTCAAGATACGCTGAGAATTTATGAGAGGGCACTTGAATAAGAAGTCAGTGACAGTTAATCCTCAGCTCTGTCTTGGTGCTCTCTGCTTTGTCAAGTCACTCTTCTCCCCACTGGTGTTCTGAATAGCTTGCTGGATTAAGTCAAACTTGAAGTCAATAGCGAGCAAGGCGATCAGTCTAAGATAAGGTTCTTGGCGGCTGGCGATTCAGTTAAGTTGGTAGAGTGCCTGTTTAGCATACACAAAGTCCTAGATGTGAAGGTGGAATGGTGACGTACACTTGTCATAGCACACAGGTGTGGAAGCAAAGTGTCAGCTTCAAGACCATCTTAAACTACACACCAAGTTTGAGAACCTGCCCCGGAGAGGGAGGCCAGGGAGGAAGACAGAGAGGGAAGGGAAAGGAGACACTTCAGGCGAGGAGAGGTGTTCTTAGAAAGTATGTCCATTCTGCAGTTAGAAATATAGCTAAGAAATCATTATAATACCACAGTCATTTCTGTCTCCATTTAGCCTGTCAGGGTAGACACTTGTCCTTGTCCCTTTGGTGGACTGGTCCCACCTCTATGCGGCTGAACACTTTTTAGGTATTGCCTTTTTTGCTTGTCTAGCTTGGAATCAGGAATGTTGTACAGATGTATGATATACTTAGTTTATAGTGAGTCAGGAGCTTTTAAGTCCAAGAAGTAGGCATGGTAATGTAGCTGGCAGGCAGTCGCTGTGACAGTAGCTGTAGTGTCTGGGGCAGTGTGCGGAGTGCTGGTGCCTTTGGGTCGCTAGTGTGAGTTGTGGTGTCTGGTGTGGTGCTGTCCCTGCCGCAGTTCTGATTTGGGTCGCTAGTGTGAGTTGTGGTGTCTGGTGTGGTGCTGTCCCTGCCGCAGTTCTGATTTGGGTCGCTAGTGTGAGTTGTGGTGTCTGGTGTGGTGCTGTCTCTGCCGCAGTTCTGATTTGGGTCGCTAGTGTGAGTTGTGGTGTCTGGTGTGGTACTGTCCCTGCCGCAGTTCTGATTTGGCTTCTGTCCCCTTTCCTTCTCTTGTTTTTCTGACTCAATTCTTTGACCTTCCAAATAATTTTGTAAGTTATCAGAAACCCTTTAGTTTAGTTTTTTGGCTTAAATCAAAGTTATTGTCTATTAATATTTCTTCTGATTATGGGTTTTATTTGTCTTTTTTCTGTTTTCCTACCATTATACATAAGTTTGAGATAGGCATGGTGGTGAGGCCTTTAATTTCGCACTCAGGAGGCAGAGGCAGGTGGATCTCCATGAGTTCCAGGCAAGTCCGCTACATAGTGAGTTCCAGGACAGCCAGGGCTATAGAGAGAAACCCTGTCTCAAAACAAACAAAATAAATAAATTTGAATTTTGTCAACTTTTTTTGGTTGTTTGTTTTTGGAGACAGGGTTCCTCTGTGTAACCCTGGCTGTCCTGGAATTTACTAAGTAGACCAGGCTGACCTGGAAGTCACAGAGACCCGCCTGCCTCTGCCTCCTGAGTGCTGGGATTAAAGGTGTGTGCCACCATTGCTTGGCTTGTCAATATTTTAAGCAAATTGGTGTTTTGTTATCATTTCAGGTGTGTTATGATTTGGGTGCAGCCTACTTCCAGCAAGGCTCTACAAATTCAGCTGTCTATGAAAATGCCAGAGAGAAATTCTTTAGAACTAAAGAGCTAATTGCAGAGGTAAGTACAACCATAAATGGTACATGATAGTTGGTCCCTTAAAAGCCTATATGGTTTTTGACTTAACTTTTTCTAAACAAAATCTGTATTGGGTGCTAGAGTGTAACTTACTTGGTTTTTAAGACAGTTTGACTATGTGGCTCTGGTTGGCCTGTAACCCACAATACTGGGATTAATAGATTGATGATAGCAAACCCAGTGTTGGGGTATGGCTTCACAGTAGATTGTGTTTTTAGCATATATAAGTCCTTTGGTTCAGTCCCAGTGGCAACAAACCAGTGTACCCAGTGTAGAAAATTGGAAAGTTAAAAAGAAATAATATAAACTAACTTTTAAAAATGTGTATCATTTCCTTGTTATTGTGGTGTCTTTTCCTGTTGTTGTGATAGAATATCCACAAGCAACGTAAGAGAACACAGTTGATTTTGAGTTTGAGGTTCATTATGGCAGGGAGTCAAGGCAGTAGGGGTGTGAAGCAGCTCTTCCTCTTGTGTCCGGTGTCAAGAAGTATAGTGCATTAAAAGCAATTTTTTTTTTTTTAAAAAAAAAGGTAGAACTAGCCAGGTGTGGTGTGCACACCTTTAGTCCGAGCCCTCTGGAGGCAGAGCCAGCCTCATCTTTAGAACAAGTTGCTTTTTATGATTCAGAGAATTACATCTAAGAGGAATGATTTATTTTTTCAGTTAATTGTTCAGTGTGTTTCTGTGTATGGGTGGGTATATGCATGTGAGTCCTGGTTCACCTGGAGGCCAGCAGATCGTGCTTGAGCCCCTGAAGCTGTAACTATAGGTGGTTGTGAGCCACCCATCATGGGCACTGGGAACCAAACGCAGGTCCTTAGTGTGTGCTCTTATGTACCAGACCATCACTCGAGCCTCAGATGGTTGAATACCTAAGTGTATGACTATTTTTAAGAACCTAGATTTATTTTATTTTATTTTACTTTTAAGACAGGGTTTCTCTTTGTAGCCCTGGCTCTCCTGGAACTCTAGATTAGACTAGCTTCAAACTCAGAGACCCACCTGCCTTTGCCTCCCAAATGCTAGTGCTGGGATTAAAGGTGTGTGCCACCACCGCTTGGCTGGAAAAATCATTTTAATTTCCTTTCCTCTTTAGAAAAATTAATCAGAGCCAGGTGGTGGAACATGCCTTTAATCCCAGCACTTGGGAGGCAGAGGCAGGTGAATCTCTGTGAGTTTGAGGCCAGCCTGGTCTACAGAGCAAGTTCCAGGACAGCCTGAGATACACAGAGAAACCCTCTTTTGAAAAACCACACACACACACACACACACACACACACACACACACACACACAATTAACCAGATACCCTCAAAGCTTAATTTAGTCTTTGTCCATCGTTTTTGTACTGGCCAGGGTTGATCCCATGGTTTCAGTTTGATAGCAGGTGGTCTGCCGTGGAGCTGTATCTCTAGCCCTAGACTTACTCTATGTAGAGCTATTAGAAATTGCTAATTTTGTTCAATTTTAAGTATAATTACTTAAAATTCATTTAAAAACGTCTTTAGAAATGTTTCTGATAGTAACATTTCTAATGTTTTTGGAGAGACTTTTGCTCTTTTTACTATCTTTTAAATCTGCCTGATGTGTGGATTTCCGATGTAGGCTGGAAGAGTTGTCCCCACCGGTGTTTTGTTTGTCACATCCCGAGTGATGATAAATAAACTAGAAAAGCAAAGGTCCAAGCTATGAATAGCTTAGGTATTGTGGATCACATCAGTCTGTCTTGGGAGTTTTTTTTTTTCAACCTTAGAAAGTTGTTTTTAACTCAAGGGACAAGCAAAAGCTGATCACAAATTGCACCTGGTCGTTGGACATTGTTTTGCTGAAAACATTTAATCTTGTCAATATTTGTGGTTCCTCCAGTTTTGAAATTTTCATTATCGTGTTCTTGTACTATTAAGATGCACTACGGAGTACTAGTCTGTTATGTATATTTCATTAATGGGTAATGATATATAACTCTTACTTTACAGATAGGTTCATTATCTCTTCATTGTACCATAGATGAGAAGCGCTTAGCCGGCTATTGTCAAGCGTGTGATGTTCTTGTAGCTTCCTCTGGTAATAACTCTGAGCAGTTGACTCCATATAGTCAAGTCCACATTTGTTTACGCTCTGGCAGCTATCAGGTAAGACGAGATGGGGTTATAGCGGTGTAGTTCAAATTCTACTGCCACCACTGCCAACTTTCACTTTTTAAGATTACCATGAGACTCGGGTGAGACGGTATAATTAGTCATACATGTGTTCACTGCTACCGACAGAAAAGCTTGCCTGTCTTAATCACTTCTCTAGGAAACTGTGAGAACTGTCAAAACCTGAAGGCTAAGCTTTGAAATCACAGGGAGTGAGGGAGCTTTGTTCTTATGGAATCCGAGGTCTCATTGTGTCTCAGCACAGCTCATCTGCCGCCTCAGCCCTAGATGAGAAGAGCGGAGTGGTTTGGTCAGGTGGGATGTTCTCTTACAAACTCCCTGTCAGCGAGCCTGTCGTTGTCTGAGATTATAGTGTCCTGTCTGGGCGCTTGTCCTTCAATATCTTCTTTGTTTGTTTTGAGTCAGCATCTCTTTCTTTTGCTGCCCTGGCTGTCCTGGAACTTGATTATGTAGACCAGGCTGGTCTCAGGCTCACAATGCCTGTGTCTGTTGGGGCTAAAGGCATATGCCATCTCATCTGTGTATCCTGTGCTTTTTAATGAAAGTCACTAACAATGAGTTTGTGGTGGTGAAGTCATTTTAAGAATGTTATCCCAACCATGCCTTTATGAGGCACAGCAAAATGAGACAATCAAGCTTAACTTTCATCAGTTTTAGGTTTTTTTTTGTTTTTTTTTTTAAATGATTTTTCGAGACAGGGTTTCTTTGTGTAACAGCTCTGGTTGATAGAACTCTCTATGTGGATCAGGCTGACCTTTAATTCCTAGAGATCAAAGGCATGCATTACCACTGCCTGGCTCCCCATTGAGTTTTTAATCCCAGATTTATAATTCACTATCTTTATCTAAAATGTCATTTCTTCATCCATCCAAAAATATATGGAAAGGAACATTGTAACTAGTATATTTTCTCATTTTTCTCTTGGCCTTTTTTTTTTTTTAAATACTTTGTGTAGGGAGAAAATTAAGTGTTTTTCAAGGTGAATGATAGGTACTGGTGAAGTAAAGTGGAGATACCATTCAGCTACATCTCAGCAGTACAGGCGTATAGGCGGTCAGAATCTGTTAAAGCGGTGGTTCTTACCCTGTGGTTCTCCACCCGTTTGGGAGTTGATGCCCCTTTCACAGGAGTCACATCAGAGATCCTGCATATCAGATTCTACTTTAGGTCCCAGAACAGTAGCAAAGTTATGCTTACGAAGTAGAGATGAAAATAATTTTGTGGTTGGGGATTATAACACTGAGGAACTGTTTTAAAGGGTTACAGCAATTAGGAAGGTTGAGAACCACTGCTCATAAAATATGGATTATAAGAAGACCCTTAATTTTTTTTTTTTAATAATAAAAAGAAGCTGGGTGGTGGCGGCACACGCCTTTAATCCCAGCACTCGGGAGGCAGAGGCAGGGGGATCTCTGAGTTCGAGACCAGCCTGGTCTGCAAGAGCTAGTTCCAGGACAAGCTCCAAAGCTACAGAGAAACCCTGCCTCGGGTGTGTGTGGGGAATTCAGCTGGATGTGGTGGCATGTTTCTTTAATCTTAGCTTTTGGAAGGCAGAGGCAGGTGGATCTCTGAGTTCAAGCCCAGTCTGTTGTACATAGTTCCAGGACAGCCAGGATTACATAGTAAAAGGCCTGTTTCATCATCCCCTTCATGTGATAAGGTCTATGCAAATAGGACCATCAGAATCTTCCACTTAGACAAGCATGCTGAAGCAGATACATAGATAGGTATAATGGTAGCTAGGAAGGGGAAGGGCGATGGTGTTGCAGCTCTGTGATGCGTCACAGTTGCATAGATAGAAGTTTCGTGCCTTTCAGATGTTGTATTTAGGTTTTTTGTTGGCTCTTCTTATTTATCGAGGTGAACTTTTGCTTGTGCAGTTCAGCCTGACCTTCACTTCTTTTTGCCTCAGCCTTCCAAGTGCTCAGTTAGAGGTGATTGATAGCGCTCTTGGCTCAGGTGTGGTATGGTCTTTTGTTTTGTTTCTAGTTAGATGCAAAGACGTCAGTAATTTGTTTCTCTCTTGCTTCTAACTTGTGGTTCACAGTCTTTAACTTTGAAAAGGGAAACTACTTCTATTCTTAATCTAATTTTATAAATTTTGGAAGAAAATACTTCTCCAGTATTTTATGTTTTATGTATAGCTTAGGATGACATTGAACTTCTGGTCCTCCTGTCTCTACTCCCCTGTGCTGAGATCACAGCGTGTGCCACCATCCTCAGTTTTATGTAGTCCAGGGCTCTGTCTGTGCTAGGCAAGCAAGTGTTCTGACAGCTGAGCTACATCCCTACGCCGTAGAAAGAGAGACTTACGTGGATCGAATCTACATGGGAAGTAGAAAAAGACAAGATCTCCTGAGTAAATTGGGAGCATGAGGACCATGGCAGAGGGTTGAAGGGTTAGGGGAGAGACAGGGAAGGGAACAGAGAAAATTGTAGAGATCAATAAAAATCAATAAAAAAAGAAAGTGCGTCTTAAAGAAACTGCCTTGGTTTTTTACTTGGATGCAATTTTCTGTTTTTTTTCTAGGAGGTAGTGCAGATTTTCATTGAAGATAATCTAACCTTAACTTTACCTGTTCAGTTCCGGCAGTCAGTATTGAGGGAGCTCTTTCAGAAAGCTCAACAAGGGTAAGCTTGAAAAATTAGTTCTGATCTTTGAGTAATGGAAGAAGTGCTTTGTGAGTTATTAAATCCCACTTGAAAATTACCTGTCTCTCATTGGCATTATTTTCACTTTTGTTACAAGGGACACTAATGTGATCATGGAGACTTTTTTTTAATTACTTGTTTTATGTATATGGATGGGTGTTTTCTTTGCTTCGATGTCTGTGCACCTTGTGTATACCTTGTGCCTCAGAGTCTGGAAGAGAGTGTTGGATGCCCTGCACTTGGAGTTCAGACAGTTGTGAGGTGACATAGGGAAGAGCAGCCACTGCTCTTAGTCACTGAACCAGCCCTATAGCCCAGTGGAAAGTTGTTTCTCCTAGTTTCTTCTAAAAGTGCTTGCGGTGAGAAAGTTATTTGGAGCACAGTTCTATTCTTCTGCTCAGTCTTTAGAAGTCAGCTACCTTTCTGTCTGTTTTTGAGTTGGTATATGATATTTAGTAGCATGCTTGGAGATCCTAAAATGTTACTTCTCAAGAAGAAATGGTTCCATTCTTTTAAATTTTGTTTCATGCTACTGTTCCCATTTTATAATAACAACATTGATGTTTCTGCTTTTGTGTTCTGCAGAAATGAAGCTCTAGATGAGATCTGTTTTAAAGTGTGCATCTGCAACACAGTACGTGATATTCTGGAAGGCAGAGCAGTCAGTGTCCAGTTCAACCAACTGTTTCTTAGACCAAACAAAGAGAAAATAGAGTTTCTCCTTGAGGTAAGGCATTCCCCTACGGTAATAGACCATTGCTCTATGTTTTCCAGGGGCGCCCAGTGCTCTCTGCTCTGCCTCCTGCCTCTCTTCCCTGTGGTGTATAGTTGACAGTATTAACAGATTGAGCAGCCACTGCCTCTCCTCAGCCCTTCCTTCTCCTTTTTCTCCTCCCCCACCTCCTTCCTCTTTCCTTCCTCCTCTTCTCCCTCTGCCCTCCTATCCCTCTTTTCCTTCTCCTCTTCCTGCCTCCTCTTCCTCCTCTTTCTCTACCTTCTCTTCCCCCTCCTCTTTTCCCTCCTCCCTTATATCTCTTACTCTTCCTCCCCCCTTCTCTTCATCCTTCTCTCCCTCCTCCTTCCCAGTCCCGCCTGGATTTTTTTAAAGACTGGCTCCTGCTGTGTAGCTCAGGCCTCAGATTCTATTCTTCTGCCCAGCATCCCAGTGGTGAGGTAGGCAGGTGCCATCACATTGTGTTTTTGCTTCATCTTCAGACAGCTCTTCCTCCTTTTCCCTTGTTCTTTATACTTGATCCTTCTTGGTCTTTCAATGACTTTTTCAGTGACTTTTCTCCTCTGCTGCAGTTAGGACCGACTTCACCTTAAGGTTCTGCCTTTTTTTTTTCTTTTTTTAGAGAATAATTTGATTATTTATTGAGACAATAAACTTATTTATCAAGACATAGTCCTGCTGTATACACCAGACTGTCCTCAAACTTACAGAGTACAATTTGTCTCTGCCACCCAAGTGGTGAGACCACACTTGGTCTAAGATTTGTTTATTTTCTGTGTGTGTCTGCCTGATTTTATGTACACTGTGTGTGTGCATGTGTCTGAAGAGGCCTGTAGATCCCTTGGAGCATCAGATTCACTGGAACTGGGGCTATTACAAGCTGCTGTAAAGCTGTCTGTTGTGGGTGTTGGGGAGTGAATCTAGGTCTTACACAGTAGCAGCAAGTATTCTTAGCCGCTGAACTGCCTCTCCAGTTCCCAAGGTTTTTGTTGTTGTTTGTTAGTTTTTTGAGGCAGGGTCACTACATAGTCCTGCCTGACCTTGAATCTCCAGAGATTTGCCTCCCAAAGGGCTGAGATTAAAGGCACATGCCACTGTGCAACTTCAGCCCCTAATTATTAATTAAAAATATTTATTTTAAAAAATGTTTTATCATATTTATTTACATTTTTTATATTGTATGCGTTTGTGTGTGCACATGTAATTGCACAAAATCAGAGCTCAGAGGACAAGCTGTCGGTTGGAACTCAGGTATCATGCTTTGTCGAGCTTCCTTACCTGATGAGCCATCTTGATAGCCCTAAAGGCTTGCTTTTATTTATTTAGGTGTCTGTGTGAGCATATGCACAGAGGTGTACACAGAGTCGGAAGAGGGTGTTAAATTCTCTTCTGTCACTCTTCACCTAAACTTTTGAGTCAGGGTCTCATTTCTGATCCTTGAGCTTGTGTTTTCTCCACTTTGCCGGGATCCAGTAGGGGCCAGGAGTGGTCCTGTCTCTCCCTTGGAGCTGGGTTTGCTGACCTCGTGTGAGGGCTGGAATCTGAGTCCTGGTCCTTAGGATTTCAGTGTACTGTTGAGCAGTTTCTCAGCTTTCATGTTTTCATTGTTTTGTTTTGTGATAGAGGCTGACTGTTTACCTACCCTGGGCAGGCATTAAACCTGACATCTTCCTGCCTTGACCTTCCAAGTGCTGGGATTACAGGCATGTGCTACCTTGCCTGACTTATGTGTTTTAATATGAATTTGATGCATTGATTACAGGCATAATGAACTTTCTACATTTTTATAGCCAACATTTTTGCTAATCTCTTAAAAGTTTTCTTTACTGGACTGGAGATGTTGCACCATTGGTAGAAGAATTTTTGCTTAGCATGCCCTGGGTTCATCCCCATCACCATATAAAACTGGTCGTGTTAACACAGTCTGTAATTCCACTACTGAGACCACTACTGGAGAAGTTCAAGGTCATTCTCAACTACAAGACAGATTGGAGACCACCTGGAATATATGGGATCCTGTCTCAAAAAGAAAAAAGAGAGAATCAAGAAAGAAAACAAAAATGGGCACGTTTTACAGTTGAAAATAAAAAAACTAAAAGAGCATTGTAGCTTTATTTAAATTTCTCAGTCTAACTAATCTGCTGTCATGGGTACTTGGACTCCTACCTTTCTTGAGGGTTCTTGTCAGTATTTTCCCCTCTTACGTATTAGAATTTTTGAAACCTAGTCGTACAAGACAAATCCTGTCTCATATAATAATAACTTAATGTGCTAAGTTATTCTTAATTACATACGCCTGAACTTATGAAAATGTTCTTATGAATTTATGAAAATGATCCATCTTTTTTTTTATGGATTCTTACCTTTACTTTTGTCTTAAATTACTTAACCAAATCAGTGATTAGTGATTGTGTTTGGTAGGGTTTCTATATCTGTTAAGAGACACCATGACCATGGCAGCTTTTATAGCGGAAGATTGTTTAATTGGGGTGACTTACAGTTTGGAGGTTCAGTCTATTATCATCATGGTGGAGTGCAGCCCTACATGGTGCTGGTGCTGGAGACTGAGAGTCTTGTCTCACTGGTGTGGCTTGAGCATGTATGAGACCTCAAAGCCCGCCTCCACATGGTATACTTCTTCCAGCAAGACCACACCCACTCTAGCAAAGCCACACCTTCTAATACTGCCACTCCCTTTGTGGGCCATTTTTTGAAACCACCACAATGATTGAAACAGAAGTTGAGTTGTTCAGAGCACTGGAGAGACAGCACAGTGGTTCAGGGTACTGGCTGCTCTTCCAGAGAACTCCTAGACCTACATGGCCGCTCAGAACTGTCCCTGCAGTTCCAGGGACTCCATCCAGCACCAGCTTTCGACCTCTGCAGGCGTCAGACATGCGCATGTTGCACAGATCGCCATCCAAACTAAACATCCTACACATTAGGAAAAAACTAAAACTTCAGTTGTTTGTAATTCTTAAATAACTCAAATGAAAATTATTCAACTCTCTAGGTATGTTCACGATCAATAAATGTAGAAAAAGCTTCAGATTCTTTGAAGGGAAATATGGCTGCTTTTCTTAAGTAAGTACCTTTCTTTTTCTTTTTTTTTAAAACTTGAAACTTAGTTTCATGAGGAAAGTGTCTTTTTTTAAAAGACATTTTAGCTTATAAATTTTATATGTGCATGTATATGTATGTATATATGTATGTGTGTCTGTGTGAGCTCGTGCCGGGGTGTGTATGTGGATGTCAGTGGACAGGCTAAAGGACTCTGTTCTTTCCTTGTACCGTGTGGGCTCTGGGAATTAACCTTGGCTTAGCTGCAGTTGCTTTAAGCCTTTGAGCTATGCTGACCCTGCACCTCTCACTCCCCTACCTTAGCTTTAGTGTTGGAAATAGGGTTTTGCTATGAATATCCCAGTTATCCTGAGACTCATAGTCCTGTGACCTTGAGTCCTGACTGCTGAGGAAGGGGTGTGTCTGTGTGATCCTGGAGGTCAGTCCCGGGACTTGTACACGCTGATGGGCTTCACTCATAGCGTTTATTCGTTTGAGCCTGGGGCTCACCTCTACTCCAGTTGGCCCAAACACCAGTTCTCTTTACTCTGCTGCTCAGAGATTGCCGGTGTCACTGCGTGCCTATCTTATCACATAATTTATGAAATGATGGATTTTTAAGGTGGCCTATGAGTGTAATTGATTGATAGGAATGATTTTCCCTACCAAAGTTTGCACTTTTAAAATGTAAAGTCTTCTGTTTCTCGCTGCTGTAGGAACGTGTGTCTGGGGCTGGAAGATCTGCAGTATGTCTTCATGATTTCTTCACACGAGCTTTTCATTACGTTGTTGAAAGATGAAGAGCGAAAACTGCTTGTTGATCAGATGAGGAAGAGATCCCCTAGAGTAAATCTGTGCATTAAGCCTGTGACTTCATTTTATGATATCCCAGGTTAGACCTATTCTGCTAGCTCATGTTTTGATGCTGCTCAAGTTAATACTAAGATGTTCCTAAGGCTTCTCTGGTATTTCAGTTGGTATTTGTTTGAGTAATTAGTAGAAACCTAACCTGTCTGCTGTGGTCGGATTTCTTCGTGAGCAGTTTTTGGTTCTTAGCTTAGCCAGAGGCTGATGGAGGTTTGGGTGTAGTTCATAAAAGGATTTAGCTGAGGATAGACCCAAACAGACAGTACTACTAGTGTGTTCTTGAGGATAAAAGTACAGATGGTGCGGGGTTGATCAGGGATACTGGGGTCAAAAGGAACTGTGATTGTCAGCCAGCGTAGCTGTGCTGTCACCTGCCGGCTTAGCATTAGCTTTGAAAATTTCATTTTTATCTTATTTTACTTTTCTCTCATATATTTATTTGTTTGTTTGTTTGCTTATTTATTAATTTTATTGTGTATACAGTGTTCTGTCTGCATGTGTGCCTATAGACCAGAAGAGGGCACCAGATCTCATTGTAGATGGTTGTGAGCCACCATGTGGTTGCTGGAAATTGAACTCAGGACCTTGGGAAGAGCAGCTCTTAGACTCTGAGCCTTCTCTCCAGCCCCTTTGCTTTATATTTCTAAAGATGCATTCACATTACTAAGTGCATACATGTTGTGGTAGGTTTTCTGTGTGGGAATAAAGTAATACAAAATTTGAGTTATGTAAAATAATTCCATTTTCAAAATGGTTTCTAGTTTAAGATATTTCACATATGCCTTTTCTCTCAGTTGTATCACACTTAAAATTTTACATTTAACTTTGAGTTTACTCATTGCTGAAATGGAACTCTCTTCCTTAGCTTCAGCAAGTGTCAACATTGGCCAGTTGGAACATCAGCTTATATTGTCAGTAGATCCCTGGAGGATTAGACAGATCTTAATTGAGTTACATGGTATGACTTCAGAGCGACAATTTTGGACTGTGTCCAATAAGGTAAGAAACTCTCTGTTAAGAATAGGTATGAATTTCATTAATTTTATTCTGCATTCTAGGAAGAATGCATTTTCTGACTTTTTTTATTTAAAATAATAAGGACTCATTTAATAGACTTTCATATGACCATAATTGGACCTAGAGAGAAAAAAGGGAAAATACACACAAAAATCCAGTAACATGGGCAGTGAGTTTTTATTCCATCTGTTGTCTCAGCTCCTCCATGCATTTCAAACACCACTGTGAATGCAGATGAAATGTATGTTGTTTATAAGACCTTTAAAGGGTCTCTTTGTTGTCTGTCTGTTTCAGTCTGAGAATTGAACCCAAGTCTTCACTCACTCTTGGAAAGTACTAGGCCACCGAGGTGTAGCTCTAACCCTTGTATTTTATTTATTTATTTATTTATTTAATATTTTTATTATTTGAGAATTTCATGCATGTTTAGAATGCCTCCTAAGTGCTGGAATTAAAGGCCTGCGTCACCATTACCAGGCTTTTTCTTCTTTTTATAGCTCCTTGAACCCGGCCAATACCGCCCTACGTACCTGGGTTTGGGGCAGTGTACTGGAGGGTGGGCCTGAAGAGAGCTCCCTGCTCTAGCAGCAGCCTGTGACCATCGGTAGTTCTCAGCTTTGGGTGGGAGGGCTCCCTTAGCTCCTGCCAGGTGTAGGGCTGCACACCTTTACTCCCCACACGCTAGGGCAGAAGCAGGTGGATCCCTTGATCTGCAGAGTGAGTTTCAGGACAGCCAGGGCCATAAAAACACCCATCTTTTTTTTTTTCTTTAAGACAACTTTGCTTTGAAAAAAATAAAATAAAAACACGCTGGTGGTTTTACTTTTTACTATTATCTTGACATCTACAGCTTCCACTTTGGAATTTAACTTCTTTATAAGACTTTTTTTTTCTTCAAAACTGTCTTACATGAAAAGAACTTTATTTATTAATTAATTTATTTATTATGTATACAATATTCTGTCTGTATGCCTGCAGGCCAGAAGAGAGTACCAGACCCCATTACAGATGGTTGTGAGCCACCATGTGGTTGTTGGGAATTAAACTCAGGACCTTTGGAATAGCAGGCAATGCTCTTAACCTCTGAGTCATCTCTCCAGCCCCCGAAAATAACTTTTAAGGTAGCATTTCAAGTTGGAAACAGCTACATACCTTTAATCCCAGCACGAAAGAAGCTTTGGTAGGAACATCCAGAGTTTGGGGCCAACTTATGTGACAGACTGAGACAGGTCTCAGAAATGTAGTAAAAATAAAAGTACATAAAATACTTTTTCAGTGGGTTGTAGTTTCTAGGGCAAAAGGCAGTACCTATAGGAGAAAGCTCAGGTGATATGTTTTGCTTGTGAGCCTAGCCTTTCACAGCCGGACCATCTCTGCAGCCTTTCGACGGTGTTTCTAGCTCCACACCCCAGTGACTCTGTTTAGGAAAGGCAATCCTTAGACTGCAGCTGTCTCCACCAAACCTCAGACTACAATCGCCTCTCTCCACCAAACTCACTGCAATGAGTCCTGTCTCCTCCCACCTTATATTCCTATCTCCACCCAGCCATATCACTCCTGTTCTCAATATCTTTAGTACTGGGATTATTGGCGAGTACCACCACTGCCTGGCTCCCAAAGTCCTGGGATTAAAGGTGTGTGCCACCACTCCCTGGCCTCTAGTGGCTTAGCTCTTCACTCTGATCTCCAGGTAAACTTGATTTGTTAAAACACAAAGAAAATATCACTACATTGTTGTTTCTGCTTTTCAAGACGGTTTCTTTTTGTAGCCTTGGGTGTTCTGGAACTAACTTTGTATACCAGACTAGCCTTGAACTCCACTAGCCTTGAGATCCACCTGCCTTTTCTTCTTGAAGTTAAGGGTGCAATGTTTATTTTTTAAATGCAATTGATGAGCATTGAGAGATTCTCACCTAGATTTGCCTTCTGCTGTGTGTGTGTGTGCGCGCACTTATATATTTTAAGTATTTATTTATTTTAAAACTTTTTTTTTTTTTTTTTTTTTTTTAGTGGGAAGTACCTTCTGTATATAGTGGTGTTATCCTAGGAATTAAGGACAATTTGACAAGAGATTTGGTTTACATTCTCATGGCCAAAGGTTTACACTGCAGTACTGTCAAGGTGAGTGAAAATGTGTGTGAAGCACTTGTTCAGACCTGCTTCAGAGGGTAAAGTGCTTGGTGCATGGGCATGAGAACTGGATTTCAAATCCCCAGAATTCCATAAAGTCAGACAGGGTAGCAGGAGCCTGTAGTCCTTGCACTCCTAGACAGAAGATGTTCCAGAAGTCTGGGGTGAGTCAGCTCGTGTACTCAGACACCTTGTCTCAGACCAACCCAAAGTTGTCTTCTTGACTTCCTCATACATGACATGACCCATGCATCACACACACATGTACATGCACTGCACACGTGTTAATAATCAGGAGAAAGGAGTCAAAGCTGATTGTTCCTTGCTTTGAAAAAAGAATTTTATCTTTAATTATGTGTTGGCATGTGTCTGTGTGTGGTCATGTGCATAATGTGTACAGGTGCCCTTGGGTGCCAGAGGCATCAGATCCCATGAGCCTAAGTACAGGAGGTTGTGATCTATGAGACACGGGTCTTTGAACTGAGTGTGTCCTCTGTGAGAGCAGCATGTGCTCTTGCCTGCTGAGCTGTCTTTTCTAATGTTAACATGCAAGACGGAATCCTAGAGCAGAGCACCATCGAGTACAAGAATGATGTGCTGAGTATGGATACCGTACACATAGAAAACAGGGAAAGACAGCAAGTCTGGAAAGATGATTCTTTAATTAGAGTACTTGCTGCTCTTGTAGGGGACCCAGGCTTGGTTTCCAATGCCAATGTAATGACTTACCAACATTCTCAATTCAGTTCCATGGATTCTAATGCCCACTTGATGGACACCCACTGTGCATACGTCCAAACAAAACACTCATGCACAAAATAAAAGATGCCTGGCAATGGTGACACGTGTCTTTTTAAAAGATGATTTATTTATTTTTACTTTATGTGCATTGGTCTTTTGCCTGCATGTATGTCTGTGAGAGGGTGTCAGATCTCCTGGAACTGGAGTTACAAACAGTTGTGAGCTGCCATGTGTGTGCTGGGAATTGAATCTGGGTCCTCTGAAAGAGCCTCCAGTGCTCTTAACCATCTCTCCAGTCCCAGTGGCGCACACCTTTAATCTTGCGAGGCAGTCAGATCTCCCCGTTTGAGGCCAGCCTGGTCTAGAGTGAGTTCCAGGACAGCAAGTGCCATACAGTGAACCGTGTATTGAAACACCCAAAGAAAATGTCTAAGGAAAAGAGAAGCATTTGGGTGTGATGGTACATGTCTTTAATCCTAGTATTTGGGAGGAAGAGACAGATCTCTGTGAGGTTGAAGCCATCCTGTCTACATAGGAAATCCCAGACAGCCTTAGCTGCATCTTGAGCTCCTGTCTAAGAAACAAGCAAATAAAAGACCAAAAAGACTAGCAGACACTCTGACAGGTAGCCCTGTAAGATACTGAGAAGACCTTTTATTCTTGCTGTGTCGTGACTGGGGAAGTCATACTTTGGGGAAGAGTTAGTACTAGTTTGCAGTGGGGTGGGTAGGAAAGGAGTGAGTGGAACATAGATGATTACATTGATTTATTAGGTAGTTCTACAGTAGATAGGCAAGGAGTGGGAATGTGAAACCTATTTTAGGGTCTGAGTATCTTAGATGGAGAAGTGTTGTCATAACATTTTATATTTGCATTATATCAAAGTCTTTGTTACTGTGTAATTTGTGTCCAACTTGTTGGCAATGCATGCACTTACAGATATATATTGTAATCGATCAGCAGTAGAGAAATGGGACTAGCCTCTCTCCTAGCTCCAGTGCTGACCACTCCAACGCCCATGAAGTCCACATTACTTTGGCCCCAGAGGACTGACTCAGACTGTCCTCTTGCTTCTTTTATAGGACTTTCCCCATGCTAAACAGCTATTTGCAGCTTGTTTGGAGCTGGTAACAGAGTTCTCCCCGAAACTGCGGCAGGTTATGCTGAATGAGATGTTACTTTTGGATATTCACACCCATGAAGCTGGATTGGGACAGTCAGGAGAGAGACCTCCTTCCGACCTTATTAGTAGGGTCCGAGGATATCTGGAAATGAGGCTTCCTGGTAAGACGGGTGCACGTGTCCACATTCATAATTCAGTCTTTCACTGTTGGGGTGTGTGTTGGGTGGAGGTCTGACTTTACCTCTATGGGAAAACTTCTCTCCTGGAACAGTTTGGGTTTGGAAGTGACTTAAAAACATTAGTGACTGGGAGAAACTTCCTTGCCAAGGGTTTCCGTACCAGCCGTGCAATGGGACCATTGCCCTCTCGTAGGGACTAGACATCTGAAATCAGAATGATTCAGCCATACCCTGCTCAGCCTTCGTAGCTTTGCCTGGCAATCCTTGTCATTGCTTGGCTGTAGCTGCATCCGTCTGGTTTCTGCCCTTGTTCTCGTGGAGCTGCTTTTTTTCTTAGAAGGACACTACTTAGGCATTTGGGGTCCACCATAAATAGTATGACCTCAGGTCAACTGACTATATATGTAGCGATCTTAGTAAGGTCACATTCAGAGGTTTTAGAGGCAGGGGCAATGTAGGGGTTGGGGTAGAATGAGTCTTTGTTGGACTTTTCAACACATTGTAGAAACTATATGTTGTAATTTTATTTATTTTCTAAGACATAGTCTTTCTATGTTGGCCATGTGGCTTCAAGTGAAGAGTATTTGGTCTCCACGCATGTGCCGCTCTGCTTGTCTACACTTGGGCCTCCTGCCTCTCAGTCTTCTGTGCTTGCATTCCAAGTGTGAATTACCACACCCAGGTCTTATATTGCAATTTTCTGATATCCTGGTAAGAAACCTGGTTTGGTGGTTCATGGTTTTAATCCTAGCACTCTGGAGTTGGAGGCAGTCAGAGCTCTGTGAGTTCTAGGCTAGCCTGGTCTACACAGTGAGTTCCAGGATAGCCAGAGCTACATAGAGAGACACTGTTCAAAACAAAACCAAAGAAGTTTGGTCTGTTAGAAAGGACATGGGTGAGGACTGAGTGCAGGCCATCGGCAGGAGCTGTGAAAGGAGTGCTTCTCTCTCTGCTGCTCACTCTGCCA